TTTTCCCTACAAAATATTTTCTAAACAAATCTTTTCCCTGTAAAATATTTTCTTTCCACCCATTTTCCACCATTGCAATCAAACGCACCCTAAGTGTATAAAAACTGATAATGGGCTAGCATATGTGATAAGGTATTTTACACTTATTTGGACCTAAAAATATAGACATTTTATGGTTATTTGATTAATTATAGTTTAATTTATTGTATATTTCTTTTATTAGGCAAAATTCAATGATTGGAAGCAAAATTGAAAGAAAAACAGAAAAATAGCGAAAAATGACGAAATCAAAAGTACAGACTACATTGCACACTCTCAATAGTTGATTCGGATTTAAGATGGACAATTGGAGATTGCTTGGGGTCCAGTTGAATGCAATTAGAAGTTAAAGGATCCAAATGCAAGAAGAATGGACTCAATCCAAACAGAGGATAAAAAGCAAGGACTGAATTGCCCATTGGTAAAAAAAAATCACTCGCGCATGTGGGAACTTGGCTGGCGTGCCCGCACTACCGATTGAAAAACTCCCGAGAGCAAACCAAGTCTATGCACGGGCATGCCGTGTAAAAATTGAATGACGGAGGACTCAATGTGCAAATTACCTGTTTGTGTCAGAATTCTTATTCCATTCAATTTTGGTCATGATTTCAACCCTATTTTAGACTTCTATAAAAATGGGGCAGCAGAATACATCAAGAGGAACCTCTTCTACTCCATTAATCATTTGCTGTCATCAATTCAAAATCAATTCTTCCAATTAAACATGATTTCTTGTAAATTTGTAATGAGATGCTAGGGTTTCAGTTACTAAGACATGAATGAACTCTTATTATAATGTTTTAATATAAATTCGATAATTTGACGTTTAATATATATTAATTTTTGTATGATTGTTGTAGGATTTAATGAAGCAATTACTTGATCACAATTGGATTGATTGTGAATTTTATTGATTTTGAAAGAAACAATGTGATAGATAGCACGTTAACAACGATTGTAAAGTCCGATAGATAATAGAGATATACATTTATGTTTTGCATGATTTTTATAAATGTTCTAGTGTTTTTAATGCATGTTTTCATGCTCACATGTTTCATAGATATATAGGAATGTCACATAAGATGATAAATTTAACTAACTTAGAAATATTGATCGACAAGAATGAGCACATATTGTCATGTTATTAAATTGAATTGATACGAATTAATAAGGGAGACTCAAGTTCTTAGTAACTATCCAATCTAAATTTACAAAACCTTCATAACTTGCTCACTAGAATTTGTTAGTTTAACTAGATTACTTAATATAAATCATTCAAACAAATAAGGCTATTCGATTGGAGTTAAAATTGATTGACAATAGGTTAAGTATATAGTCCTTGTGGGATGATACTTTATTACTTATTCGCGATAGAGTACATTTGTAGAAAATTAAACGATCAATGTCCAGTTCGAACAATTTTGCAAGGAAAAAGGGTTAGAAAAGCTCCTAACAAAATCACATGACAGAGAATGAATAGAACTAATTTGAGGAGTTACTTACATGTTACCTAATGTAAAATTACCTACAACGGCACATGTTAAATTCTCATCAACTCAGTATCCTGTACTTTAAGAGGTAGATTATTATGTAAGTCACGTTCCTTTCATTAATGGAACATGAATTTTGATGCACTCCGTCTTTTTCTCAATGCCAGACAACAAATTCAAAAAGTTTGGTTTATGGCTACTTGTGGAAAAAGCCATTGGAAGGCGCTTAAATAGGTCTTTCGGTACTTGAAGGATACACACAAAATTGGTATAGTGTACAGCGAAACGATTTGATATGAAGTATTATAGATACAATGACTAGTAGTATTTCATCTATCATCAATCATTTTACTCATAATGTACATGTCGACTAACATTAACTCTATTATAGATGTGAAGGTTTCACACCTCGTAAGATAAAAAATCTGATCAAGGAAAGCCTAGAATAGAGGATAAGGCAGATAATCCTGGTCCAACAAAAAAGTAGTTGTGGAAGATGGTGAATATAACGGAACTCAGATTTGGACGAATATTAATTGTGGAAGAGAAACTTACCGTCAGGGTCCCCCAAGAATGCTGTCTTCTGAAATAACTTCTCAGAGTCAGTTCTGCTTAAAGGCCACATCACATGAACATGTCCATCATCTGCATACACACGATTAGCTACTTCGTTTAACCGAGTTGTCAACATTAGTTTGCTACCCTTTTGATTCTTTGGAAAAATTCCACGCAAGAAATTCCAATCATTCAGTGACCGGATGTCATCCAAAACAAACAAGTAACTCTCATCTTTTGCATATTTGTCAAAATGTTCTGCCAGTGCTTCACGTGTTAGTCCTGGGTGCTTTATTCTCTTTCTCCCTTCGGGAAGTTGTTCTAAATACTTCCAAGGACTTCAAATTTCTGGCCAATTTCTACCGCAGAACAAATGTAAAATTGGGACTGAACAGAGGGGTCATCATATAACTTACGGGCAAGTGCGGTCTTACCTATTCCACCACAGCCGTATATGCAAATAACTCCATCTTTGCCATCAAGCAGAACAGATTTTAGATTTTTTACTTGGTCATCCATCCCAACGATATGGTTTTCTCGAGAGTCGTCAGAGATGCTTTTCCTCAACTTTTGTCGGGTCTCAGTTTCTGGATCTGTTATCTTAGTGTCTTCTAATATAAATAAACCCCTAATGGTTAACATTATCTGCATATTAATTCCTTTAATCTCTAAATCAACCATCCGGAAGGATTTGAAATCATCAATGAATTTTCTAAATTTGCTTCTGCCTCTTCTGGGTTTCACCACGTTGAAATAAACTTCAAGGACATTCTGAAGTCTAGAAACAAGGTCTCTGACCTCTCTTTCCTGGTAATGTACACTTGACGCCGTTCTTTTTCTCGCATCTAGATATTTTAATAAAGGGAGCCACAGATTTAGCTTCTCTTGTACATCCTTTATTCTTTTCTCTATATCAGGAACTAAATTTGTTCGAAATTCTTGTAACGAAACCGCCTTTATGTTCTTTTCTAAATTGATCAATGTTTCAACCATTTTCTTTCTCACAGCAAGGACCAGCAAGAGATTCTGAAACTTTAGTCAGATATTTCTCGATAGTGTAAAGTAACATTCCTCGTCATTGCATCGCACTTGCATGCATCCAAACTCAGAGAAACTGTAATAAATCAATTTGCACCTGTCACAAGAAAGAAAATGTTTATCCCGTCAACCAATTGTCATCTGGTCTATAAGTAGTTCCAAACTAATCTCTTTTGACAAAATCTATAAATTCATTAATCCAACTAGAGATATCAAAAATTGGAGAAACAAAGGATGTGGGCTACTTTGTTCCTCCCGTGGGAATAGAAAGAATAAAGCAACAAGACCAAAATTAAAATCACCAAGTAGTACTACAATACCACAATTTCATCCACTTTTTATTTGTATACATTTTGATCCCAAATTGTAATGCTCTTTCCTAGAAAATTCATTCAAGGAATAGTTAAATTGATACAAGAAGGAACTTTTCGATAATAGTTGGTTTAAATATGCTACAAGGATCCCTCAAAAAAAAAAAAAAAAAATATGCTACAAGGAGATAAGCGATTCAATATTCAGTTCAGATAATCAGCACATGTTCAAAAAAAAAAAAATGTTAGATTTTATAGATATTTCAAATGGCCCGCATGCTGCTCCAAATTCTCAATGTTGAGACTACCAGAAGAAGAAGCTACCAGAAGAAGCTAACGTGGAAATGAGCTGTGCAAGTTAGTTAGATTAGCTTGTTTTTAGTTAGTGTACAGCTGTAAATAATTACATTCTTTTCCCATTTCTATTTAAGGACCACCTTATGTACAATTCAATTAATTCATTCAATACACAGAATCTTTTTCTGTTTATCACTCTTCCGTATTCTCTCAAGATTAACACCTGCTAGCTTAATCTCAAGATGGTATCAGAGAATAATGATGCTTCCGTTTCAGCTCCTGAGTCGTTAATTCCTGAGCCCACTGTTTCAATTCCTGCATCTGAATCTGCAGCAAGAACAGAGGCTCTCAGTCCATTTTTCCTACATCATGGAGATAGTCCAGGTGCCTTGATCGTCTCTCAGCTGCTGAACGAAGACAACTATGCCTCATGGAGTAGATCCATTGAAATGGCTCTAAGTGCCAAAAATAAGTTGTGTTTTATCGACGGATCTCTGAGTGAACCTGATGAAGGTGATTCGGTTTATCCAGCTTGGAAGAGATGCAATCACATGGTTATTTCGTGGCTTTTAAATTCTATTTCTAAGGAAATTGCTGTCAGTGTCCTTTATATTGATTCTGCTGCTGCTATTTGGTCTGATCTTAAAGAGAGGTTTTCACAAAGTAATGGACCTCGTGTCTTTCAATTGAGGAAGGCAATCACCTCCTTAACACAAGATCAGTGTTCAGTGAGTGCCTATTTCACTAAACTAAAGACACTTTGGGATGAACTTGGGTGCTATAGACCTGTTCCAGTTCCCTTGGTGAAATTTCAACAGGAGGAATATGTCATGCAGTTCCTCATGGGGCTGAGTGAGAGTTACTCTCAGATTCGAGGTCAGATACTATTGATTGATCCATTACCAGCAATTAACAAAGTCTTCTCTCTGGTTGTACAAGAGGAGAAGCAAAGAGAAATCGCTGCTGGAATCACACATAATCTAGATCCTGTTGCTATGGTTGCTAAGAATTTCAATAGAAATCAAATTGCCATTGGAGGAAGGAACAACTATATTGGTCAGAACAATAAGAAGGAGCGTCCTCAGTGTAGCCACTGTGGTCTTCTTGGCTACAAAATTGACAAATGCTACCAAGTGCACGGATATCCACCAGGATATAAGATCAGGAACAAGAATCCTGTGATTCATGGAGTTGCAAATCAAGTGGAATCCGCTCCTGATGCCACTAGTAATCTTGCACAATTCCCCTTCACTAAGAACCAGTATCAACAGCTGCTGGCTTTGATTCAACCTACTGATGAAACACATCTGCCATTCACAAGTACCCGTACCACTAATCCTCAGAATCCTGGCACCTCTGGTTCACAGGGCCATGCCCTAGCAAATCTGGCAGGTATATCGTGTCATTTGCCCCACAATGCATCAGTATTTAGTCAATGTTTTTCATGTAAACCGTCATCTAAGCCATATGAAGGTTCAAAAACTTTAAGTATGAATTATGAGTGGATTTTAGACACCGGTGCTACAGATCATATGGTATGCTCAATCCATTTACTCTCTGAAATCACAGCTTCAGTTTCACGTTTTGTTAAGCTTCCAAATGGTACTTTAGCAGAGGTTACTCATGTTGGTTCAGTTAAGCTTACAGACTTCATTACTTTGAAAAATGTTCTGTGTGTGCCATCGTTTGCATTTAATCTCGTTTCAGTCAGCTACTTGCTTAAAACAATCAGATGTGCTCTCATTTTATTATCTGGTGTATGCTATATACAGGACCTATGCTCATGGACGACGATTGGTCTGGCTAAAGAGAGGAATGGACTATTCTATATGCTGAATATCGCTTCCAAACAACTCAAACACTTTGTTAATTCTGTAACATCCACAGTTTCTGATCTGTGGCATTCTAGATTAGGTCATCCATCTTTGCAGCGCCTACAAATGCTGCAACCTATCATTTCAGATTTGAATGTAAATAATATACATCAGTGTGATGTTTGCCCTATGGCCAAATTACACAGATTACCCTATGTTTCTAGTGGAATAAAAAGTTTTGCTCCATTTGACCTCATACATGCTGATCTATGGGGTCCCTTCTCTACCACTGCTATTGATGGTTCAAAATATTTTCTAACCCTTGTTGATGACTTTACTCGATGTACTTGGACTTGGTTGCTAAATTCTAAAAGTCAAACACAATCTGTCATTCCTGCTTTCTTCACTTTAATTGAAACACAATTTAACCTCAAGATAAAGTGTATTCGTTCAGATAATGGTTCTGAATTTCACCTTAAAGATTTTTTCTCATCTAAAGGTGTTATACATCAAAAGACTTGTGTTGAATCACCTCAACAAAATGGGGTAGTCGAGAGAAAACATCAACATCTATTAAATGTTGCTAGAGCTATTCGCTTTCAAGCTAATTTACCTCTTAGTTTCTGGAGTGAGTGTATACAAACTGCCACTTACATAATCAACAGACTTCCCACTCCTCTACTTCATGGAAAATCCCCTTTTGAAGCTCTTTTTTCCCAGAAACCTGATTACACTCACTTCAGGATTTTTGGCTGTTTATGTTTTGCTTACACGCTTACTAGAAATCGATCAAAGTTTGATTCTAGAGCAACTAAATGTATCTTTCTTGGCTATCCATATTCTATCAAAGGTTTTAAACTCCTAGACCTTCAAACTCAGACTGTTTTCATTTCAAGAAATGTTATATTCTATGAAAACATCTTTCCATATAAACAACTTCCTTTGAATCATAGTGATCCATTTGTCTTGCCGAATCCAATTTCAGAGTCTTCTCTTCCTGTTTTTCCTTCTGCTGTGCATCCTATACTTGAAAATATTTCATCAAACACTTTCCCTGATCACCAAAATACCTCCATTCTTCCACCAGAAAGTCATCTGCCTTCCCAGGACATAACTCCTTCTCTGAGAAGATCCACGAGACCTAAACAGACTCCTTCCTATCTTCAGCATTATCATTGTCTTTTGGCTCAAGACTCTCTTAGCAGATCTGATCAGTCCCCAAGCAAGGTGCCTTCAAGCTTGAGCTCCAACTGTGATATCCAGTCTTATCTTGCTTATGATAGGCTTTCGTCTTCCCATCGAGCTTATGCTCTTAATATTACAAGGTTGACTGAACCTCAGTCTTTTAATCAAGCTGTCAAGGATCCTAACTGGTGTGATGCAATGAATTCGGAAATTAAGGCACTTGAGGATAATAACACATGGACATTGACCTGTTTACCTCATGGCAAGATTCCCATTGACTGTAAATGGGTGTTTAAAGTGAAATTGAAAGCTGATGGATCTTTGGAAAGGTATAAAGCCAGATTAGTGGCTAAGGGCTATACTCAAAAGGAGGGATTTGATTATCTCGAAACCTTTTCTCCTGTGGCGAAACTTACTTCTGTGAGAGTCCTTTTGGCTGTGGCTGCTGCTAATGATTGGAATCTCTTACAATTGGATGTCAACAACGCCTTTCTACATGGTGATCTAAATGAGGAAATATACATGACACTTCCTCCTGGTCTTGACAGCAAAGGGGGCAATATAGTATGCAGGCTCAACAAGTCTTTATACGGCTTAAAACAGGCCTCTAGGCAATGGTTCACTAAGTTCTCAGATTTTCTATTGCAAGAAGGTTTTGCACAGTCCAAATCTGATTATACACTTTTTACGAGGAATAAGAATGGCTGCTTTATTGCTCTTCTAGTATATGTGGATGATATTGTCTTGACAGGAAATGATTAACAGGGCATGAATGATTTGAAGACTTCTCTTGATAGACAATTCAAGATAAAGGATCTAGGAGCATTAAAATATTTCCTAGGACTGGAGGTGGCTCGGTCTAAGAAAGGAATTTCTTTATGTCAAAGAAAATTTGCCATAGATATTTTAGGAGATGCTGGTTTTAGTGGTGCCAAACCAGCAAATACCCCAATGGAACAGAATGCTAAACTGGACAGAGAAAGTGGAGAGTTATTGCAAGATGCATCACTCTACAGGAGGCTGGTGGGACGGTTACTATACCTAACCATTACTAGGCCTGATTTGAGTTATGTGGTTCAAGTGTTGAGTCAGTTTATGAACCAACCAAGGGAACCTCATTTGGATGCAGCCTACAGGGCACTAAGATATATCAAGAAGACGCCAGGACAAGGGATTTTCTTCCCTAAAGAAAATGATTTACGGTTGAAGATTTTTTCAGATTCAGATTGGGCTAGCTGCCCTGACTCAAGGAGGTCTATAACAGGATATTGCACTTTTCTAGGAAATGCCTTAATATCATGGAAATCTAAGAAGCAAAGTACAGTCTCTAGATCTTCATCAGAAGCTGAATACCGTGCTATGGCGTCTGCTACATGCGAAGTACAATGGCTTCTATACTTACTAGCTGATTTGGGGATCAAACATGAGAAGCCTGCATTGCTATATTGTGATAATCAAGCTGCGTTACACATTGCTGTCAATCCTGTATTTCACGAGAGAACAAAACATATCGAACTAGATTGTCACGTAGTAAGGGACAAGATTAAGGCTGGAGTTTTACACACTATGCATGTATCTTCAAATAATCAGCTTGCAGATATTATGACAAAACCAGTGGCAGCATCTCTGTTTCATTCCTTATTGTACAAGATGAATGTGTGCAACATATACACTCCATCTTGAAGGGGACTGTTGAGACTACCAGAAGAAGAAGCTACCAGAAGAAGCTGACGTGGAAATGAGCTGTGCAAGTTAGTTAGATCAGCTTGTTTTTAGTTAGTGTACAGCTGTAAATAATTACATTCTTTTCCCATTTCTATTTAAGGACCACCTTATGTACAATTCAATTAATTCATTCAATACACAGAATCTTTTTCTGTTTATCACTCTTCCGTATTCTCTCAAGATTAACACCTGCTAGCTTAATCTCAAGAAACCACACAACTCATATCACCACCAAATACTTGCAGATATTATCTAAAATTCATTTAAATCTCCTTAACTTTCTGTATTTATAATTTAATTCTTCTCGTTTTCACCAACAAATTTTTGCGATGGTATACCAATGCTATTGTAACTGTTATCGAACCACAAAAAGGGATTTTTGTCATAAAAGCTACTAACGTACAGCTTCATTTGAATTTTAGTTTACTGAGAAATTAAATCCATAACTAATCTGCACATGGCATATGAGCATGAGTACACTTACTTGGAGATGGCAACATAGAATCTCTGTTCAGTGCCTCCTCCTAGATGCAATCAGTCGTAAGGTTGCACAATTCTGACTCGAATGAATGAAATTTTGTCCTAGAAGTCTTCACTGAAATAGGCTGCCCATGTGGATGCCAATTATTTTTATTTTCTGGTTGACAGCAAGGACTAACTTGTCGTCTTCTTCTTTTCTATTTTCTTTTTTCTCCATTCACCAGAACCTCTTTCCGGGTATTTTCAAAATTGGCATGATTAAATCTCCTAATTTTCAATTTGAATTTTTAACAATTAAATATATTTTCATAATGGCATTTTGAATTATAAAAGACAAAGATACCTTTAAGTAACAATACAATTACAAAAATGTATTTTTATCTAAAAGACAATACTACTATTTTAGTTAACAAGTAAAATCAAGCACTTACCACTTAAAATTTTAAAATCAGCTAACTTTTCTTATTTATTTATTCCAACGCAATTAAAAACTCTCTCATTTTTCATCTGTTTCAACATCAAAATCACATAAATTGATCAAACACTGAATAAGAAATTTTTTTAACGTCTATCATTTCGAATCGTTAAGTATATTTATGTATGTTTAATTTTGTTTTCGTTAAAATTAGCATACGTTTTTAATCAATAAATCTTATTTTGACATAGTAATACATGTAGATAAATTTATTTAACAGATCTATAACTTTTTTTAGAATAAATAAGAAAAAATTTATCTGCATATATAATGGTCGTAACAACCGGCTCAGGAAGATAAACTCCTCAAGACTGTAGAGGTTGCGAGGAAGTTGAATGTGGAACCACTGGATAGTTGCTCTCGGGTTTCAGCAAAGAAACTCATTTTTGAATTTTTTTGGTGGAGTAAAGAAATTGAGGGTTTCAGCAAACAGGTTCCAGGTGCGGTAGGACACAACCAGCAAGTAGAGGTGTCAAGACGGACG